TTCTACCCCTCTTGAATGGCTCCCTTTCTCACTATGGTCAGTTTGCTCATCCTATCTACAGCCCCAACTTTCATCACTCAGGGAGCAAGAATCTCAATCCTTTAGGACAACCTCAAGGGCTGAGTCTCCTTCAGCACCACCTCTTGGATCCCTCTACCTGCCTTGCTCACCTGCCCGTAGTCACACCCTCCTGAGGCTGACCAAATTTGTGGTAGTTAATCTAAGGTGGTGTGACTGCTTCCTGAATGACAGCGTCCAGGTAACTCTCCCCCTTCCTGATGTGTTGCCGTGTCCAAAACTCGGACTTCAGTCATCAACTCTGATCTGGAGTTCCACAAGCAACCAACACTTGCCATAGATATGGTCAGTATGAACCACAATGGGGTCTGCCAGCTCCCACATCATGCAGGTACAACACATCGCCTGGCCCTGCCTCTCTATTTTACTTACTTAGTTCTTCATTTGATTTTTTAAAAAATCCTGCTGGTCTTTTACTTTGTATCTTGTAAATGTTGCCCCTATTTACCTTCAATCTGAAAGTATCCTATAATAGATAGTCAAAATAGGAGCTATCACTAGACAATGAACTTACAGTTTACCTGTAATATCACTCTTTTGTGCTGGGCCTCTGATCCTGGGCTTCAATTTGTCCTGTTTAAAAAAAGAACTTACAAACAATGAGCCAAAAGAAGTAAGCAAAAAGCACCTTTTCCACTCTGCACCAAATTCCCATGCTGCCTCCAAGTTCCCTGAACTGTATACTCACTTGGGCTAGGTCTCAGTCTGAATGTGTTCTCTTCTTCCTGACTGTGTGAAGCTTATTCATTTAAGAAAAAAGTTCATGACTGACAGCAAAGATATATCCCAGTGAGGAATGAAGGATTCTGGGAACGGAATAAGCAAATAATCATAAACCAGGGTAGCAGCGAATTGAAAGAAAACAAAACGTACGATGTAACAAGGATTAGTGGTAAACCAAAGAACTGGGGACACTTAACAAAAAAAAAAGATGACTACAAAATAAAAACAAAACTTGGAGGATGAACTCCCAAGTAATATCAAGATGTACAACAAGACCTTCTTTAAATATATGAAAAGGAAGAGAGTTGTCAAAGTGAACATTGGCCCTTTAGAGAATGAGGCTGGGGAAATAATAATGGGGAACCAGGAAATGGCAGAGATATTGAATAAAGACTTTGCATCAATCTTCATATCAGAGACACTAATAGCATTCCAAAAGTACTAAATAATCAAAGGGGCAAAAGCAGGAGAGCAAATGAGTAAAATAACAATCACTAAGGAAAAAAAGTAAGGGGCTGAATGCTGATAAATCTGCTAGACCTGATGGGATGCATCCTTGATTATCAAAGGAAGTAGCTACAGGGATAGTGACTGGTAATAATCTTCCCAAGAATCCTTTGATTCTGGAAAAATGCTCAAGGATTTGAAAACTGCCAAGGTATCACCTTTTTTCAAAAAGGGAAGGAGACAAAAATGGTTAATTATATGCCAATTAGCCAGTTAGTTATTGGGAAAATTTTTGTCTGTTATAAATGATGTAACAGCAGAACATTTAGAAATTGATAACATAATCAGACATAGTCAGTATGTCTTCACGAAAGGGAAATAATGCCTGACAAATTTTATGGAATTCTCATGGGATTTGACAAGGTAGATTTGGAGACTGCAGGTCCAGAAGGCATAATTTCAGAGAAAGTGGTCCCCCAGTTAAAACAGAGATGTGGAGGAATTTATTCTGAGGGTAGTGAATCTGTGGAACTCTTCACACACTGTTCAGATGTAGAATCAGATGTCATTAGACATATTCACGACAGTGGTGGGCAGATTTTTAATCAGGTGTTATGGGGACAATACTGCAAAGTGCAGATGAGGATTTTCAGATCAGCCGTGATCTCATTGAATGGTGGAGGAGACTTGACGGGCCAAATGGCCTACTTCAGCTGCTATGTCTTATGGTCTTATGGACCCGTCTACTTGTGGATGGTCGATATTCCTTGGACATTAATGAACCAGTTTTTTTAAAATTATAATCAACAATGGTTTCATGCTTACCATTAAACTAGTTTTTAAGTCCAAATTTATTAATTGAATTCAAATTTCCACATCTACCATAGTGGGATTCAAACCCAGAGCATTAGCTTTGGTCTCTGCATTATTATGCTAGTGACAGTATCCCTATTTTTCTACCTCATCCATCGTCTCTGTGCTCGCTGTTCCACCTTTGCTCCCAGTCAATCAACTCCTCGACTTTAAAAATCTCACATTTGTTTTAAAATTGCTGCATGCCCCTCCCTATCTGTATGTCTCATGACCTTCAGATAGTTGTACTCATCCATTTCTAGCTTCTTGACTTTTCCTGATTTTAATTACTTCACCAATGGTCATCAGGCCTTCAGCTTCCCGAAGCTTTGAAATTTCCTCCCAAATTATACTGCCTCTCTACCTCTCCTTCTTTCTTTAGGATGTTCCTTAACATCCACCTCTTGATCAATGAATTGATCATTTGTCCTAATATTGCCTTTTTCAGTTTTAATTCTGATTTTGCTTTAATATTCTCCATTGAATTAACTTGGGTTTGTTTTATTATGTTAATATAGCTCTACCAAAACCGATACTATATCTGAATTTTCTCGGCCAAATTCTTTTTTCTCTTCTGCCTTTATCCCATCCTTTATTATCACTACTCCCTCTTTTTCCATTTTGCCCCTTTCTTCTAAAATGTAAGTATTCTGGAATATTTGATTGGTTATGGAAAAGAAATGTATATCCAACTGTGCAATTCAAAGAACAAATTGGTTACAAGAACCATTCTGGAAAACATAGTCAGAAAATTTCCACTAGATGTTTTCCCATTTTATAAAAAATATACCAGGGAGGCAGCTCTGAACAGTTGAAAGAATAATCTTCATTTATGCCAAAAGCATTCTTTACAAATTTCATATATTCTTCATTCATACATGCTTTCCATGGATAACTGTTTGATTTCAGATATGGAGAATGATATAAAAGCAGAATATTGTGGATGCTGGAAATCTGAAATAAAAAGTCAAAAATGTACTGAAAATTTTCAGTGTGATTTGTCTATCCTGATTCCTCCATCAGATGTTCCTTGTCCTTGTGCCTTCATAAAAATGATAGCTGGTGCCAAATGTATTTGTGTGTGCAGCAAATGCCATTATGGAACCAAAACAACACACACAGCATTGAAAAAGTCAAAGTTTTATGGACCATATTATAAGAAGTGCTCTGAAATCACTCCATGGCACAAGAGTTGTAAACAGCAGGTTTTAGCTACACTGATGATCTAAATAAATCTATTTGTTCATCTGTCCAAAGATGTGCAGGATATGTATATTGGCCATTAGCAAAGATTGCTGCATTGTATCCAGGGCTGTGCAGGTTAAGTGGTTTAGCCATGGTAAATGTGAGATTACGGACTGGGTCTGGCTGGGATGCTCATCAGAGGGTCAATGCAGACTCAGTGGGCCAAATGGCCTCTTTCCACACTTAAGGGATTCTATGATTTGATGATTCTGTGATTTAGAATCTAATTAATACGTTGTTTATACAATTGATTTTTATTCTGTCTCTGGGGCTAAATTCTCCCGTTTCACTACCTCCCACTTCCTTTCTCATATCACTTTCTTTTAAATAGCAAAATAATACCTTGTCCTTCACTGCAAATTCCTCATTGCATTTCCTCATTGAACAAATTATTCTTCTATATTTAACCAAAGTATTCCCTGCTGAAATGAAGTTTGCACACTTTGTATATAATGTTGCTTATTTTACCTGTTCTTGATTTAGCAGAATTTAGTCATAATATATTGTCCAGTTGGCTATAAGCTTTCTTAAATATCTATGCCAGCACAGAAGTGGTAATACTGTTAAAGAACAATAAACTGATTTTAAAATGATCCAAAACATATTAATCACCCTTACAGGTTGAACACAGATATTCCAATGTATTATAATTTAGCATTAATTCAGTATGCTGTCATCCCTTAGTTCCAGTCCTTTCACATGTTAAAGATGTACCACCAGTTCCAATGTCTTGCATTTAAAGAGCATCTTTATTGCAGAAAATAACCTCAAGACACTTCACAGAGGTGTAAGGAGAAAAACACCACCATAATTGTTGCTACAAAATGACAACATTGTTCAGTTGTTAGGGTCTTCTTTGAATGCAAATAAATTTTTAGCAGAAGGGCTCTGGTACAGTTGTACTGTCCCTACCAGAAGTCCTAGATTTAAGTCTGACCTGCTGCAGAGGTCAACACATCTGAGCAGGTTGATCAAACATATTAACAAGTTATACAGTTTCATTCATGATAGATTCCCTCTATTAGTGCAAGCTTTTTGTTCAGTTATTTTACTTCTGTCTCTTTTAGGGCTTTCTCATTTTTTTCAGCTACTCACAGCAGCGATATACATCTTGGCGATTCAACACTGAATTCTCAAGGCTTTCTCCATTATATCATTCTCATGTTTGGTTGGTGCCCAGGTTGCCCATGTTGACCATGTTCCTGTTCTACCTCCTACTTTCCTTTCATCCTCTGTATTTCTTTACAACCTGACTCTACCTCCTCTTCTGTCCCCCCCCACTTTGTTTCTCTTCATCCCTTCTGCCTTCTCTCTCCCATCACCCTTGAAGGTGAAATATAGCACAGTTGAAATGAGCAGTGAAGCTGTAGGCTCAGGGATTACCTGATGATGACCACCAGCCATGTGGACAGAGTGAAGCTCTGTCTGAATCAGCTGTCCCAATCATCAACTATTCTATTATTTTGTGTTCAACTTTTGTTCAAACAGCAGAACTAGTTAGGGAAAAGGTAAGATACTCAAATTGTTTCCATACTTAGCCAATTATAAAATGAGAATTGCTGATGAGATTCCAGTCTTAATTTGTTTTTAAAAAGCCAGCTGCTGTGTACAGAAAACTTTGTTCTTGCCTTTTTTCCTCTCTGTCTCTCTAACAGACACATGAAGGTGGTGTTAGGGATTTGCTGCTTGAAGCTGACAGAACAGCAGAGGCCCATGAAGACCAAAGTCAACTCTATGATGAGATGGGAAGAACTCTGGGAGTTAATTGGACAACTCTCAACCAATTGCTTGAAAATCGAAAGAGACTTTTAAAAATGGCATCCGAGTTCTTTGATCAAGCTTTAGAGGTCAGTAATTAACAAAGGAAAAGTGATTACAAAATACAACAGCAGTTTAAACTAATCTTGGAATTAAAGAGCTTACAGTGAATTTTGATAGTGCTGCGTGGTCTTTTAATTAACACAGCAGTTGTAAAGTTGATTCTATTCCTAAAAAGTATATATTTTTTAGTTTGCTATAAAAATTGATGAAGCTGAAGAATTTCTGAACAGTGCCCAAATATTTGAGGATATGGATTCCTTGAAGCAACTCCTTCATCAGCATCAAGATCTTAAGAAAGGCAAGTACTTCAACCAAATGTATCATGAGTATTTGTAACTGGGAACTTGAACAGAAAATTATCTTAAGTCTTTTATCCTGACTCTCTGAAATAATGTCCTTTGCATTATTTTTAGTTTGGGCAGTATCCTAGATAGGGATGAGTAACAAAACCTGTTAAGATTTACAGTACAGCTGTGATACTGGTGCCAAATTGTTTTACTTCATGCCAACAGTTATAAGGTAATTGCAGTTTTAAATCCAGATTCAGCCCATAAGTTGACACTAGAGCAAAGCAGTGACTCCTGGAAGAAAAGGTTCTGACTTCACTTAATTCCAAGTCTATTTGGAACCTTCACACCCAATTTACACTGCACAACTTTATTGCTATTTTTCTTCTTTTCAATAAAACTTCCACCTTACCTTGGTCTTTGCCATTTCAAGTTGTCTAACATAAGTAAATGTGACCTTGAACCTTACAATTTCTAGTCTTACCATTTGTTCAACTTCTCAAAAAATATAGTATTGCTTCAGGCCAACACTGAGTCAAAACCAATTGGGCTTTGACTGATGGTGTGATCTACAGTAACCTACTTACTACATTTTCTCTCATATTTATTTGATCCCGCAGAGAACATTAATAAACGCATGTCTGGATTCAATGGTGTAGACTGTAGTTTAGCAATAGATTACAATTCACATTTTAATTTGATTGCAGCATTTGTGTGAGTGGTGTGCAGCTGTGTAATTGCCAAGTAGATAGAATGTGCAGCCAGCATAACTGCTTTCTCAGGTAAAGGAACATTGAACAAGTGAGAATAAAATAGTTGGTGGAAGCTAACTGCTTTTTAGAGAATCACAGAATTGTTGCAGCGCAGGAGTCCAATCGATATACTGTGTCAGCTTGGCTCTTTGAAGGGTGCCAAACCCTTGACTTTACCTTTTAACCCTATATATTCTTTCTTTTCAGATAATTAGCCAATTCCCTCTTGATGCTTCAAATGAACCTGCCTGCAGCGCATGTTCAGGCAATGCGCTCCAGACCTTAAGTACTTACTGTGTGAAAAGGTTCTGGTTATTTCTGCTTTGCTACTTTTGCCAAATATCTTAAACCTATACCATCTGGTTCTTGATCCTTTCACTGGGAAGTTTTTCTCCCTTTCTACATTATCTAGGCTGCCATGATTTTGAATGCCTCTATTAAATCTCTGTCTCTTCTATAAACTGAACAGTCTCATCTCTTTCAGTCTATCTACGTAACTGAAATTGCTTATTCCTGCAACTTGCTAATTAATCTTTTCTGCATCTCTCTAATGCTTTCACATTTTTCTGATAGTATGGTGCTTAGAACCAAATAAAACATTCCAGTTGAGGCCAAAACAGTTAATTTGAGGAGGCTGAGTAAGAATTTCTGAATGATCATCTTGGTCTGTTCATACATTAGAAGTCAATTTTTTTCCAAATTATTTTGATGCCTTCGTATCTACATATAATAATCATTGATAATTTCTGATTGCTAGTAAACCAAGCAGCAAGGCCTTAGCTATGATTGCATCCTATTTGTGACTTGCCAGTTTAGTACTGAACTAGAGAAAAAGGTGACAAACATAGAGAGCAGAGACTGAGTTGCATAGTAAGAGATTATTGGACCTAGCACCAAATATCCACTGTTTCAATCCCAGCATTGATTTTATTCCTTGAATATAATGTATTAGTTCTGTTGCAGTGGAAGTGTTTCTAACATTTTACATTTAAGCATTGGGGTGGGGGTGGTGTGGGCGGGTGTTAAAGGCAAGTGGATGCCAGTTCCAACATAGAAAAATGTTTTAGTGACTTAGAGATAAAGGCTGATGGTAATAAAGAATGTGATTCCATCTACCTCATCCCTCTTATTAAGTGGAAGTTACTTTAGAGGAAACTTTTTCAAAATGTTGAATTTAAGTTACTTTAAAGAATAGAGAAAGACAAGAAATAAGCAATTTTAGAAATTGAGGGAATGCTGATTAAGAGAAGGTAGAATATCTCAAAACTTGCTTGAAATTTTCTCCAAACAATCATCAGATAAAATGCTCTGAAAGGAAATATATTTTTCAAAAAGGAAAAGAGATGAAGAAAGAATAATTAACTATAAGCCGGTTAGCTTAACATCTTGTCATTGAAAAAATGATGGAGTTTATAATAAAAGGATACAGTCGCAGAGCATTTAAAACTACATAATATAAGCAAACAGAGTTAACGTGGCATCATGAAAGGGAAATACTGCCTGACAATTTTATTAGAATTCTCTGAGGAGTTATCAAACAGGATAGATAAAAGGAAATAGAAGATGTAAAATAAGATAATGCACACTTAATGAGAAAAATGCTGTATTGGAGGTAGTTTATGAGCAGAGATAAAGGACTGACCACCAAAAGAAAACAGAGACTTGGAATAAGGGAGGCTATTTAAACCGAGAAAGACTGCAGAAAGCTGCAGCAAAGAGGAATTTTGAAGTCCTCATGCTTAATCACAGAAAGCTAGCTTCCAATTTCAGCAGGTAAAAGAGAACGCAAATGGAATGTCACCATTTACTTCACAGGGAGTGGAGTGTAAACGTAGGGAAATCTTGCTAAAACTATAGAAGGCGCTAATTATGTCACACCTAGAATACTGTGATCAGTTTTGGTTCTCTTTTATCTAAGAAAAGATATACTGGCATTGGTAGCAGCCCAGAGAAAGACTGAGGAGAGATTTGACTTATACTCATTAGAATTTAAAAGAATGTGAGACAGCCTTATTGAAAGAGACTAGGTTCTTTGGGAGCTTGACAGCATAGATGTGGAGAGGTTGTTTCACCTTGTGGGAGAGAATGGGACCAGAGGGGATAACTTCAGAGTAAGGGATCATATGTTTAGTACAGAAATGAGGAGAAATGTCTTCTCTTAGAGATAGTGAATCTGTCTAATTATTTATCTCAGAGAGCTGTAGAGGGTGGGTCATTAATTATATTGAAGGCTAAGACAGATTTTTACACAATAAGGGAATCTAGATAGGAAAGTAGAGTTGAGGATTATCAGATCAACCATGATCTCACTGAATGGCAAAGCAGACTTGCTGGGCTGAAGGGACTACTTCTGCTTCTATGTCTTATGGTCTAAGTCTTCGATTACGTGTGGAACTTGAATTAATTCTGAACAGTTGACTTTTGTTTCAGTCCTTTTAACAAGTTCAATGGTTCTTCTCAACAAAAGTCAAGAACTCCTTAATGTAATCAAAGAGTTCAAAGTCCCTGGACCGAAAGCACATTCTGAACTAACTCATGGGGCTCACAGCAGCTGTGTAAAGATTGAAAGTCTAATGGAACTACTACAGGACAGGAGGAGACAGCTGGAGGAGCAATCATATCGTCAAAGGCTGGACCTGGAGCAAATTTTACAGATCTATCAATGGGACCAGCAGGTAGATAAGGTACAGACCAAATCTGTGTTAAAACCATGAAAATAATGGCTTTGAAATAATGGTGTACACCTGAGAAATAGTGTTATTTTCTCAGAGAAAAAACTGTTTGGTTGAACACATGTTACCTATGACCGTTTGCTTTTGAAGAATACACAATACTGTCAAAATAAAGATAGTGGCCAAGAATAGTCTTCAGTTTTATGCAATACAAGCTGATATCACAACACCAGCAAAAAAACTATCTATGTTCATGTCCTGAGAATGAATTTTTTAAAATGCCGCCATCATAACTTCAGTGAGAACTGGCTTGACATCTTGTCAGAGTGATAAGAACAAACATTGACCTAGATCTTCTGGTTAGCAGCAATACTGGGTGCATTGGCACTGACCAAATATTTTCTGTACCCTGGTGGGACCTCCAATCCTGACTGAAGCAGAAATGGTGCAGTTTCTCCAAGGTAAGCCCAATGAACATAGCAGAATTGAAAGAAGGAGTGGACATGCCCCTTTTACTACCAGTCATATTAAGGTAGGTTTGTCAGGATCTCAAGTCTTTTCGTGAATAATTTAAAGTTAGGGAATGGCTATATGCATGGATGAGTGAATGATTCAGTGAGGGGGTATGAGTGAGTGATTGTGAATGAATGAATTGGTGGGTAAATGGGTGAGGAGTGAGTAGATGGATGAGTCCTTCAGTGAGTGAATAGATTAGTGAGTGAACAGTCAGTGTGGTTGGTCAGACGAGCGTGGTGTGTGGGTTCAAGGAGTATTAATTTCAGATCGGAGGGTAGGAGACAGGGGGTATTGGTGAAAAAGAGGGTTGTGTTGGGAGCTTGCTCAGATTGCAGAGGTGATACGGATGGCTATGTGCGTGGGTGAGTGAGTGATTGTGAAGTGGATTCAGAGAAGCTTCATGAGAATTGTCCCAGGAGTGAAAAGCTTAACATGTGAAGAACATTTGAGGACTCTGGGTCTATACTCGATGGAGTTTAGAAGGATGAGGGGAGATCTAATTGAAACTTACAGAATACTGAATGGCTTGGACAGAGTGGACGTTGGGAAGATGTTTCCATTGGGTAGGAGAGACTAGGACCTGAGGGCACAGCCTTAGAGTAAAGGGAAGATCTTTTAGAACGGAGATAAGAAGAAACTTCTTCGGCCAGAGAGTGTGAATCTATGGAATTCACTGCTGCAGAAGGCTGTGGAGGCCAGGTTATTGAGTATGTTTAAAACGGAGATAGATAGGTTCTTGATTCTCAAGGAGATCAAGGCTTACAGGGAGAAAGCGGGAGAATAGGGTTAAGAAACTTATCAGCCATGATTGAATGGTGGAGAAGACTTGATGGGCTGAATAGCCTAGTTTCTGCTCCTATGTCTTATGGTCTTACGGATGATTGGTTGTGGTATTTGGTTCAGTTACACTTGCTAATGACTAAGTTAGACCAAGCAGTAACAGCATAACATTCTCAAGCTAAGTACTGCATAAATAAAAACTGAAATAACTGCGGATGCTGTAAATCAGGAACAAAGTTGCTAGAAAAGCTCAGCAGGTCTGGCAGCATCTGTGAAGGAAAAAACAGAGTTAACGTTTCAGGTCCGGTGACCCTTTTACTTCTCAGATGCTGCCAGACCTGCTGAGCTTTTCCAGCAACTTTGTTTTTGTAAGTGCTGCATATCTCAGTCTTGGACCCTGAAGCTGTTTAGGGGATCATTTGTGCAAGGTCCGAGGCTGTGTAAATCAACCAACTGGAAGTTTAAACTACCCAGGCAATTATAGGGCATGTGCATACATCAGGATTTCTGCAGGATCTTCACTGTTCTGATCCCAGCTTATTTTATTACGGGACAAGTCAGAACCCAGACTGAAACCTAGTTTCATAGATCTTGTCTTGTTTTGCTTTTAATGATGTGGCCTCTTGGTGAAACAAACACACAACAATGTTGCAGATTTTGTTTTAAAAATTAAAACAGAAATTTACTGACCAAAAGATAGACAGATAAAATGTATCAACCAAAATATTTACTCAACATAAATTTAAGATTTTTAAACACTGTAAAAGGATAATCCCATTAATCCCAATACATTTTCTTTGCCATGTCCAAAACAAAACATCCCTCATACAGTAGCCAAATGCACCCTTGTACAATGCTTTCCTAACACCTTGATAGGCTTAATGCAACTGTGACTATAACTCTTAACTGGAACACTGATAACCTTTTCCTGGAGCTACCAAATACCCAAGATTAAACTCAGCTTCATGTAATTCATGTAGTTTCTTCAGGGGCTTATCCCAACACTTCTGGTTTGGCACTATAAATCTAATTTTACAATATCCTCTTCTTCTCAGGAGCACTGCTCTATATACAAGCATCTCTATCTAGTGATTTCACTGAACTGCCCAAAACAACATAAAACTCTTTAGTATCTCTATCTAATCTATGAGTATTTCCTCTAAGCTTAAAAAAACTCAGTCTACAAATTTCAAACTGATCTTATAGCCAACTATTTACATTTCTAAGACATGAAACATGCTAATATTAACATAAACCCTTTAATCTGCCAAAGTTGCTATTTCAAACTCTTTTAAAAGAAATCACCATGGCTACTGAAATACTTATTAACTTCAGACATGAAGAAAACTTGTATGTCACTAAACACAAAATCAAAACTCAAACTTAACGTAGATGATATTAAAAATATATATAAATCAGATAGTTTATATCACTTTTTGCAAACACAGATTTAAATCCAGATATTCATGCTCTAGACCTTGAAAGATTTGAGCCAAAAGTTTCACATTAAGCTTTAGCTGCCAACAGTGAGAGAACTTTCATTAAATCATCTTGATTGGTTTCAATCCGGTTCCCAAAGTTTATGACTGCTTCAAAAACAAATTTAAATATGCTAATCTAATTTTAGTTTGTAGGTAAGAAAATACAGAAAATAAGTGCATCATTTTTAAGCTTTCATAAATTTAGAATGACTATTGTTCAGTTTTAATTTAACATCTTTCAATTATCAGTGTAACCTATTGTTGTATCTTCTTGTAGTCTTAGCATGAAAGGAACTTATAAAGTTAACTAAAATACAGTTATAGGCAGAAATTTAAATAATGCCAAATAAGATATAGTTTTTCAGTCTGTTCTATTATTTCCTCTTTGAAATTAGAAGCAATAATGTACTGAACATCACCTATCAGCTGAATAAGGTTAATATTTTTATTCCAATGATTCACCATCAAAAATCATTTATGTACCTGCAAAAGGAACAACATAATTCAATAAGTTGATAGCTTTGTTTGGTACTCAAGTACTCGTTTGCTTATGTCCAGGAATTGATAGGAGTGCTGAAAATAAAAATAGCATAGCTGCCCTCAGTTGTTGTACATTATAGCATGTCTTCCACAACTGATGTTTAATAATTACTCTGTATTGGATGAAGGTGATGCAATGGTTCCAGCATGATGGTGAGACATATTTACGGAATGAAAACTTAGGTTCATCTCTAACTGAAAGTGAATGGCTACTTCAGGAGCACCATCGTGTTGGGTGTAAAGCCCAGGTAAGTGTGTACAAGATCCAATCCATACCATCTCTTTGATGAGAACAGTTACTGAAAGATAATGTTTTATGACTTTTTAGCCTCAATTGCAAAAGAGGTGAAAAATATATCATAGATATATATTCTTGTAATTTCAAGTTGAACAATGATTCTAGAATCCTGTTGAAAGAAGCTATTAAAAAAAGATATGTTTCTTATATGATTTATTCGTAAATGAGGTTAGCTCAGTTGGCTGGATGACTGGTTTGTAATGCAGTGAAGCCAACAACGTGGCTTCACTTCCTGCACTAGCTGAGGTTACTATCAAGAGCCCTGATTCTGAACCTCTTCCCCTTACCTGAGGTGTGGTGACCCTCAGGTTAAATCACCACCACTCATCTCTCTCTAATGAAAGCACAGCCCTATGGTTTGGTAAGACTATGGCGACTTTAAATTTACCTTTCCATTTTGTAAGTGATTTATTTTGCAATGTAGGTTTTGCATAATGGACAAAATGGAATTGATCACGAAATGGAGTTTATCTTAATACTTCTCAAACTTACCCTGTACATTTGCTCACAAATTACATGCTTATTCACTCAACATAAACATTTCCACAAATGCAGGATAAATCAAGCAATGTATTATTTGGATTGAAACGCAATCATACACAACTGCCCTTCCTGGTCTGCCATGGCCATGTGATCCCTACCATGCGATTTCTATACTGGAGGTAGCCATTTTGCAAGCCCCTCAATACAGAGATGGTAAAGGCTGTTCCGCTTCTTTCTGAACATGGTGTCAGAAATGGAGCTGAGGCCAAGTTCTGAGGAACTGGAGGAACAGCACAGCCACTGTCAGAAAGAAACAAGCAATATTCAGAGCTGTGAAAGCTGCTACATGCAACTAAAAGAATCTGAGAAAAGAACCCAGGAACAGGCCATAGATAATACATTCCGTCAGAGACAATAGCTACAACTATTCCTTTCCCAACTTTAGTCAAAATGAAAGGGATATGAAGCAGAACTGGCAGTTTCTCCACATGTAAACACAGAACTAAGGTATAGCAATAGATCTATTTAACAAGCTACAGCAGCTATGAGTAACTACACTCCAATCATTGCTGGAAAGAGACTGTATTTGAATGTGTATTCCATTCAAAAATGTCTGTGATGAACAGAAGAAACAGACTACAGAAATATCAAAAGCCTTGAATTAAAGTCACCTCGATTAACGTACTGCCTTTTTAACATACCCTCATTAATTCCCGATTTATTCTCTGTTCTACAGAGCAGCTACTGTTAGTGGCTTTATAGACCACTCCCACCAGTCACTTCCTCCCCTCATTTTTTCATACTTCCACCCATATGGATTCTGCATCATCCAATCCAAGATGATTTGTTGTTATGACAGCTCGTACAAATTAAACTGCCCTACCCGCTTACCTTTCCCTACCTACTTGTCCTTTTGAGAAGTCACTTAGCCCTGAATGTTTAGTTCTCATCTTTGATCTTGTAACCATATCTCCATAATAGCTGTAAGTTAACACCCTTATTTGTGTCGTTAATTCATTTATTTTGCTCCAACTACTCTGCATATTTAAATCAAGAGCCATTAATTTTGCCTTTTTGCCATTTTATAACCATATGAGCCTATTGGCTGCTGGCCTTTTTGAAAATCTTTCTCCCTTTTTCCGAATTTATTGTTCTCATTTGACCAAGAATATGTCTCTTTAGAATGAAAAGCCTCATCCTTGCCACCATTAATACATTCTGGCTGATAATTGGCAATCTGAGAGTATTACTTACATGGAGATTGACTGCGCAATTCTGAGGTGCGGAGGGACCTTGCTGTTCTGGTGAATGAGTCCCAAAAAGTAGAGTCCAGCTGCAACACATATTCAAGTTGGCTAATGGAATGCTATCCTTTAAAAAAAGAGGAATTAACATAAAAGTAATGATGAGGAGTAGAAACTGAATTAACATTTCTCTGTCCACAGATTTTATCAGACCTGCTGTGTATTTTCAGCAATTTCTGATTTAGTTTCAAATTTCCAGCATCTGCAGTTCTTTGTTTTATAAAAGTGATTATGTTATGCTTGAGTCAAACAGGAGCAATTCCTGAATACTATGTACAATTTTGATCTCCTTATTTACAATAGGATGTAAATGTAGTGGAGGCATTTCAAAGCAGTTTTACTCGACTGATAGTTGGAATGAGAAAGTTGTCTGATGAGGATAGGTTGTACAGGCTGAACTTGTTTCCATAGGAGTTTAGAAGACTGAGAGGTGTCTTGAGTGAACTACATAAGATCCTGAATAGATTTGACAAGGGAAAAGATGTGGAAAAGATGTTTCTTTTTGTGGGTCAGTCCGGAACAAATCGAAATACTCACCCCCTCACCAGCAAAGAAATGAGGGGAATTTTGTTTTAGAGTTTTGCAACTTTGGAGATTTTTGCCTCCAGATGATGGAGGCTGAGTGATTGAATATTTTTAGGACAGATGCCTTCTTTTTAGGCAAAGGGATCCTGGGTTATCGGGGATGGTTAGGAAAGTAGAAATTGAAACATCAACAGATCAGTCATTGTCTTTTTGAAAGGCCAAACCAGCTTGAGAGGTCAAATCATTTACTTCTGCTCCTATTTCATATGTACATATGTGTTTTCAAATACACAGAATTCAGCTAGACATATGAGTGTGGTCACATATTAATTAAGAATTTTTCTCTCCCTTGAGATCTGATGTTGAATACATTCCATTGATAAGTAGCATAAACATAGGATTCAAGGTGTGTATACCTTGTGTTACCTTGTAAATCTCAAAACAGGATCATAATGCGTAATACTGCTACGTACTAGCCCCATTATTTATAAAATCAAAATTGAGAGCTGGAATGATAGCTGTTCAAAAAAAGAGTATATTTGATTCGGGTCATTTGAAAATACATTACACTTTACATATGTGTTGAATTTCTTCAAGGCATACTTTACACATCATCTGAAAAATATTTCAGACAATCCTTTGTGAAGCTGCCTTTTGGATGAGATACAAGCTTACTCAGTACACTTTAAATAACATACAATTTGACTGGTTCCCATTTGTATCTGCCTGTATTAGAGTGCATAAAATCTCACTTGGTTATATGGTTGTTCAGATTTGTTCCCGCAGACATTCTATGAGAACTCAGTAATTAGAACCTTAAACTTTTTTATTATAGGAATTCATGTCTGTAGCTGAAAAGTTAAAAGCTGAGGCTGATGAGATTTTGCTGATCGAAGACTTTACTGATAAAGAACAGATGGCAGTTCAAAATCAGAAACTGAAGCTGATGTGTGAGCAGTTCTGGCTACTCATGAAGGAACGAGAATTATTGCTCCAAGAGGCCCATGAATTTTTTAATAGTGCAAATAAGGTTAGTTCCTAAACTACATCTGCATTGAAATTTTACTGCAAATTATTTCATATATATATACTGAAATCTACATCTTTCTGCACAGTATGTATTTTCTTAGTCTGTGGTTTTCAGTGAGGCTGAGATTCCTACCTTAGAATTGAAAGAGGCATGCTGTAATAGCTGTTACTCCCTCCTTCATAGTGCCTGACCTGGAAAACAAATATCGTGCATCAAAGATTATAGACATGACTAATGTAACATTCCTGGGTGGGTTGAGAGAATTTGAGCACAACAAGTTAATATGTTATTCTTTTCACCTTTGTGGAAAAAGTATTATAAATTTTCATGAACTCTTCAAGTGTTGTGCTGGATTGTGACCTGCTATTTTATCTTCACCATGTCCTCAAATTAGGGTTGCTCTGTTTAGAATAAATGTGGAGTATTTCCCATTTTTATACAGGTTGAACAGATGTAGTTGCTCCCCATGCCTCCTAAAATGCAGGACAGCTGGACACTACTTCAAGGAGGAGCCTTAGCCCTTAGCAGGCTAAAGGTTGAGTTACACATTTTTCTTCTCAGAAGAAACATTTAGTTTTTGCAAATGTTCACTTTTGGACCTGTTATAGACAAATATGAATCCAAAAACACACATGAACCATTGTGCAGTAGTTGGATTTGCATGCATTATTGGTTGAAATTTAAAATTTTAATTAAATGAGAGAGAAAACCTGTCCCATGTCAAATTTCACATCCCTCAATAGGACAATGCTACAGCCTGCATCTCCCAAGAGAGCTGGGGCTCTTTTTATCATCCCCCAGAAAACCCCAGAATATGGACCCAGATCACAAATTTCTGTTGAGGCTTTTCTTCATGCATTCACCAGGATGGAAGCAAGAATTACAAATTTCAACGGAAACAACAAATTATACTGGATACAAGAAGGGATAAAGGATGCTTGGCAAGTGGATTGTTTCAGCTCTTGCTGTGAGCATTAAGAAACACTTAGAGCGGTTTTGTACCTGAACTGGGAATAATTCAGTCTTGATGCAAGGTGCCAGAAATGGAAGCAATTTTCTGTATATCCATAGACTAGAATTCTACACATTGATAAACATGAAAAAATATAACAAATGACTCATTTCCTTAAAAGTGTATTGCAGTAGCTGCCTGACAAAGAGAGTAAGCCTTAGGCTAGATAGGCAGGAGTTTTATTATGCACATGTGTTTTGCATCACAAGATTAGAAACAGAAGTTTAAATCTACTGGTACAATTTTAGAAGTATTGTGAGCTGGGTAGGATCGCAACAAACTTCAGGAGGGCAGAGATAGGTTGTTGGATTCGGTAGTCAAGAGACAGATGGAATTTAGTGTAGTGAGATGTGATATGATTTGGTAAGAAAAACGTGGAGAGGTAAGACAGAATAAGGAATACTGGTTTAAAGAGGTAGGGGCGGAGGTTCCAGGGTACGTGTTGGGGTGAAATTTCCTATTTGTGTGAAAATCATTAAAAATGGCTGCACAGATTAAGAAAGCAATTAATAAAACATAAAGGATCTTGGACTTTAAAATGGGGGCATAGAATCCAAACACGAGACAGTTTTGATAAGCCTGATGAAGCATCACTGATGTCGTGTCTCTCGTTCGGATTCCATGCAATAGGAGGCATGTGAAGGCATTAAACAGTGTGCAGGAAAGATTCAAGGAAATGGTTGTAGCAATGAAGACTTCATTAGGTGGATAGATTAGAGGAAGTTGGGTATGTTGTTGGAGAAGAAATGATTAAGACAAGATTTGATAAAGGTGTTCAGACAGTGACAGAGTAAATGGGAAGAAACAATGTTCCTGACAGTGCAACAATCCAAAAGTAAAGGATGCCAATTTAGGGTGATTGCTAAAAGAAGCAATAACAGATGAGGAAAACCTTTTTAACTCAGTGAATAGTTGAGATCTGGAATGTGCTTCCTGAGAATGTAGTGGAGGTGGTTTCAACTGAGGCTTTTGAAAGGAAATTGAAACATAACCTAAAGAGAAAGCGTTTCCAGAATTTTGATGAAAAGGTGGGACATGGGACTAGATCTGTCTCTCTTGCAGAGAGCTTGCACATGTGTAATAGATTGACTCCTGTGCAATAAAACAAGGAAACTTGAATATTGTTTCTCTACTGCCATCTTGTGGATTTTCATCATAATTATTGAGTTAACAGATACGTGTACTGTGGTGTGCAATATCATTATAGTGCATCCAGAAACGTTCCGACTTGGAACAGTGTGTGATTTTTAATGCAAAATGAGTCCTTCACATAGCCTAATTTACAAGATTACATGATACTTGCAGATGAGAACAAACACTCAGCCAATTATAGTCCATCCACTGAAAGAGCTGACAGTCGCATATAATTATATATAACCAATTCAAGGGTTATTTTCAGTATGACTCTATTTGAAAGTCGATTATAAATGTTGATTGCTGTCTGCTTGGAGATAACTTTTCTGATATCTGTCCTAAAGTTTTGTTTTACTGTTTTCAATTTATGGTCCTTTACTATAGACTCACATGGTTTAAAATAGAATTTCGGGTTAACCTTTCCGATATCATTTACCATCTTGTATAACCTTTTATTATTCATCTTCAAATCACTTCCTTTTCAAACAAACAAGCTCAAGCTTTCCCACTGGGAGGGAAAAGCAAATCAAAGCTGGATAGGCTGGGACTTTTTTCCACTGGAATGTAGGAGCTTGAGAGGTAACCTTATAGAGGCTTATAAAATACTGAATGGTATGTGTCTTTTCCCTTGGTTGACGGATTCCAAGACTAGGGGATACATTTTTAAGGTGAGAGGAGAGAGATTTAAAAAAGACATGAGGGGCAAATTATTTACACAGAGAGTGGTTCGCGTGTGGAATGAAGTGATGGGTGTGGGCACAGTTACAAGGTTTAAAAGACACTTGGATAAGTACATGAATAGGAAAAGTTTGGAGCTTTATGGGCCTTGAACAGGCAGGTGTGAATACTTTAATTTGGGATTATGTTTTGAATAGACTGATTGGACTGAAGGGTCTGTTTCCCTGCTGTGTGATTGTATGACTATGACTCTGTAAAGTGGGTTGCCATTTTGCAATTTGTAATATATGACCATAAGACATAGAACAAGCGTAGGCTGTTCAGCTTCTCAAACTTGCTCTGTCATTAAATAAGATCATAGCTGATCTGACATTCCTCATGTTAACTTTCCTATCGTTGCACCGTAACCCTTGATTTCCCCACTCATCACAAATTATTCCAACTCAGCCTTAAATATACACAAGAATTATGTTAACATATAAACAGCACGTTGGGCTATGCCAGATAGCCCTCGAACCAGCTCTGTCATTAAAAAGAACATTGCTGATTCTGATTATAATCTCAAATCCATATTTGTGTCTAAATTTGCCAATGAAATGTCTGGAGTTCGATTTTCCTTTTTCTGACCTGAAATTAAGCAGGATCTGAAAAGCGAAAACATTAGAAAGAGATATTTTCTTGTCTCTACCCCACAGTAAATGAAAGACTGAAAATATATTTATACCGTACACAATTTCAGAACTTGGCCATCATGAATATCAGGCAGAATGTCTCTACACACTAAGCCTTTTCAGGTCCTGTACTTAGAATAATTTCTTTGTAATTTTCCAATTTGATATTAGGGATGTAAATCCAATGTTAGATGGAAAAAAGAATTGCTCGGCATTATGTGGACCACAGTGTAATTTCACAGTTAGGATTGAATCTCATCTTTAAAATGCATGAGGTCAGATATGTTCTGGTTTGGAAAACACTCAGGTCATGCTGCATCTGTGGACAGAGGAACTGAGTTAACTACTTTTCACAAGAAAGTTCATCAACCTGAAACACAGACTCTGTTTCTTTTTCTGCAGACACTCTCTGGCCCCCATATTTATAGCATTTTCTGTATTGTGTCATATTTCTGCAGTATTTTGCTTTTCTGCTTTCCAGTTTGCCCCATTTTACTGATTTTTTTTTAACGTGGAGCTTACCCATATAGGTCCAACAACTCCAATTAAATGTCCAGCCAACTTCAGTTTTATAAATGGTTTTTTGAAGTGTATAATTAAAGGGCCGTAGCTCTCGCTTAGTTAGCCAAGTTGGATCATGGAAGGAAAGGTCAGAATAGCTTTAATCCATTAGAAACTTTAAACACTGCTAATGTATCAAACACTCTTTAAATATTAAAGGCCTTCTTGTTGGTCTCAGTTTTAATCATTGTGACCTTTTCAGAAGTGTCCTTACACACCTCTGAAGCAGGTGGGACTTCAACTTGTGGACTCCTGGTCCAGATATAGAGGCACTGCAACTGTGGCACAAGAACTCCATTAGCTAGTAAAGTTCATGAATTAATGTAAAGCTTAACAAAATGATCCAACCCCACAGCAAATATGTAAATATCAAGCAACATTCTGTTATTGTCAACATTAGTTGAGTGCTTCTGGTTTAAAACGTATGTTGTAGGTGCAGTCATGATCCAAATTACAAGATGATTAAGTAATGTTATGTTTTTGTCGACAGGGATTTGATATACTGGGAGGAATAGAAAGTCATCTGAAACACCTTAATTTAAAGTCTCTGTGCTTGACAGAACTCTCTAAAGAACATGCTTCTGTGTGCCAGGCAATCAAAGATGCAACTTCAGATGCTCTACTGAAGGGACACCTGCTCCTGAGTAAAATTGATCCACAAAGGTAGGGACTACACACCAGTGAATATTGCTCAAAGAATGCACAGAAATTCCACCTTGTGAAACTCAGTGACAATTCTTTACAGATGCATAGCAATTTTAACATCTTTCTTTTAATATGGTAAAATGTTTGCAGGTTCTTTACTAGAGAATTAGCAAACAAAAAGTTTGGTACTGAGCTACATGTGATAAGAGGACAGGTGAGTGAAAACTAAGTCAGAATAGTTGGTTTTCTGGTGTATCCCAAAAGAAGAGTGAGATGTAGAATTGCAGATGATCCAGAAAGCAACCTAGGCAGCTGAAGACATGGCTGTCACTATTTGAATAGCTAACATAGCAGATATACAGGGATCATGAAAAGATGGAGGAGAAATGGGAGGGAGGAATAATTGGTTAATCAGATTTTCATTTTTCTAATTTTCATCTTTTATGTCTTTAGTCATGTCACACACCATCTAATTATCATCAAGATGAGATTTGTGCTTATGCAATTGGTGGGAAATGTTTTGTTCTCCCATTTAATTAAATCTGGACGTGCAATATTGTAAAATCTTTTTATTTTTGTATTTTTTGAACATCCTGGACTGAAATGAAAGAGACCCTTTTTTTAAAAAAGTCTATTGGTAAGTGTGCTACAGTTCTGAAATTGAAGTGACCTGACACCCATTAGAATCATCGTGTAAACAAGTATTTGAACAAGCAATTATTGAAATTAAGATTGCAAATGATTTGGAGTCAAGGGGGATGTGCAGATACAGCTTTTGTTGTCAACAAGAAGTTGATTGGTCAATGAACAAGTGACCAGTTATCATTGACAGAATTTTTTTCCTGCCAACAACCATGTGATTGTTTCTCTGGTAACAAAACAAATTGGAGCTGGGTACAAATTACAGTGAGAGAGAAGTGTTTAGTTTTTCCCTAGCTTGGGAGTGGTGTCTCTGTTCTCTACAGCTAAAGCACACAGTAAGCATAAGGAAACACAGTTTATCTTTTCTGTAACCATTGTTGTAAGCTGTGACTTTTAACTGAGAAGTCAGAGACGTTTTGTAAGTGAACAGGCCACCTTGCGTTTCTTACCAAGAATCCAGAGGAAGATGACTGAAGCAATGTGCTAGCCAGTGGAAGCATCAGAAGGATTATTTTTACAACAGAACCTGGAACAAAGACAACCAAACTGCCTTTCTAGTTTATCTACTCTGCATAAGAACCTATTTTCCTGCCTGTTTGCCTGCATGTGTGTGTAACAGGGTACTTAGAAGAGGATTAGACTTTTAATCAGTTGTGTTATATGTCGACAGTTTATAACTGTTTATCTGTAGTCAGGGTCTAGTGACTTGAAATAAATTGTCATTCTCATTCGGTACAGAAACCTGGTCTGTGCTTTCTATCAATCTGGGTCTGAAAGTAAGATAAATTGGGGAACTTTGCATACTTTATAAAATATTTAATTTTTGTGATGAGTCTGGGAATAGTGGGGCTCCATTTCTAGCTTGCTATCCCAGTGAGTCGTAGCAATAGTGCTTAAATAAAATAAATATTGAGTGGAAGAGTTTTCACTTTGGTGAGTTGGCAATCTGAGCATGGATTTAAGTCAAAATTGTGCTAGTTTTTAGAAGTGCTCTTTCCTCCTCATGTTTCTGCTCCAACCTATTTGCATGCCTCCAAGCCTAAATTTTGCCGTGGAACAGGGAAACTAAGCATCATTTTTAAATGCCGCCAATAAAATAAATTGCATTAAGTACTGTCCCTTCATGTACAGAAGCATGGGAATCTGTAATTGTTTTCATTCATGCAACTGAAAATGAGTATCACAAAAAAATACACAGATTACCTATGCCACTACCTTTGAGGAACCTAATTTTTAAAGGCTGAAAATTACTTTATAAAATTTGAGAATCATTAATTGATTTCATTGATTTTCATTGATGCTAAGTAGACATTTTCTGAGTAAATATATAGCATATATAAGCTTATAAACATGCACATTACTACCTCATGACTAAAAGTAACTACTCCATGGAGTTCAACAATTACTGTGTTAACAGTTTGCAATGTTAATTATTGTGCTCTGGCCATATGGTCAACCTTGCAGATGAGGCATGAAAATACTTTTTCAAACTAGTGCAAAGGATATCTCCATGACTTTCTGGCCCTTTATTTCTGTAGATACGAGTTATTAATTTTTAAGTTATTCAAGGAGAACCTCTTGCTTTTGCACATAGACCTTATACAAAATGGGGGAAGGAATAAAATTAGGAAGATACATAGCCCCATAGCTCTTCAGCACCCCCTTCACCTCCTCATTTCCCCTTGATTACTCTCACCCATCCAACCCTCTTCCCTTCTTCTAATTATTCCCCTTCTCCTTCTTCCGAGCTCAATCATTACCTTCCTCTCTATCTTGTTTTTGCCCCTCAGCTATGCTTGACCTCAGAATCTCTCAACTGGGTAGGAGTCCAACCAGTGGAAAGATTTCCTGCTGATTTCCATTAACTTCAATTTTATTCCCCAAACCATAAATTACATCATTCCATTTGCATTCCTAAACACTTGCAGCACCTTATACTAACTTTGTGCAGTGTGGTACACCCAGATCCCCTGTACCTCAGAGCTCTGCAATCTCTCTACTTTCAAAAAATATACTACTTTTTTATTCTTCCTACTAAAATTCATATTTTCATACATATGCCAACCATTTGCCAACTCACTTGGACTCCTTAACATCACACTCCGTCAAAAGCTGAAGCAAATGGTGGTCATTTTCACCTTCGCTTTGGCGTTCAACTCTTTTGCCCACGTTTCATCGAGGCTCTAATGAGGTCAGGTGCTGAGTTGCCCTGGTGGAAACCAAACTGAGCATTGCTGAACAAGTGCCATTTCCAAGCACTGTTGTCACCCCTTCTATCATTTTGCTGATGAGACTGTTAGGCAGTAATCCACTGGATTGGATTTGACCTCTTGTCGAATGGAATACCTGGACAATTGTTCACATTGCTAGGTAGATGCCAATGTTGTTGATATACTGGAATCGCAGTGCTAGGGCCACACCTAGTTCTGGAGAACAAATCTTCAGCTCTATTGCCAGAATGTTATTGGGGTCCATAGCCTTTGCATATCCAGTGCCTTCAGCCATTTTGTGACATTATATGAAGTGAATTTATTTTGTCATTTAAAAACAGTTAGCTCTGTATGTCTAATGCATCTTCAGCTGTTTTGGCGTGTAAGTAGTTCTGTGTTATAGCTTCACCAGGTTGACACTGACAGAGTACCATGGAATCAGTGCTGAGGCCTCAAGTATGTGTAACCTGTATTAATGACATGGATAAAGAAACTGAATGCAGATTTTCTAAAATCAACCTGTTCACAGATGTTATTACAGACCTCTGGAGCTAGTGAGACTTGAATTCGGGCTTCCTGGCTCAGAGGCACCACAAGTTGAAATGCAGAGAGAGACTGCAGAGTTCTGAGGTACAGGGGAATCTGAATGTACCAGATTGCACAAAGTTAGCCCACAGGTGCTGCAAGTGTTTCAGAAGGTGAATGGAATGATGAAATTTATTGCTTGGGGAATAGAATATTAAAGTAGGGAAGTTGTATCTGCAGTTGTATAGAGCATTGATGAAGCCACATCTGGAGTACTACTACTCTTATCAGCCATGAGCTTATTGAATGGCAGAGCAAGCTTGAGATCTAGACTAGATAACTTCACTCTTTTCTCATCCACCTGGCACTGCTATAATCATAAATCTCACATTGTACATCTTGACCATATTATTGTAGGACATAAATTTGAGGTGATTGGTAGAAGGATTACAGAGGTAATTAGGAAAAACATTTTTGCCCAGAAAATGTGAGTTTCTGGAATTTACTGCTCAGTTTTGTAGTGGACACAGAAGTACTTAGAGGCCACATCTGTAATTGGCTCAAGCAGTTGAACAATCTAGTTGTGTTCCTAATTTGTATTGTCATATCCTTTACAGCTGATGTTTTGCTGAGCTGGCATCTATGCTGCCCTTGTCCCTGATCCAGATTGCAGGCTGCTTCATGCCCAATACTTACCCTCTCGTAACAAGCAAATCTAAACTACCAACTGAAATAAAATGCAGTGCTCAAATCTGAGAAGGTGGCTGGATGTGAAGTGAGCGACTGTGCTTCTTCTTTGCTGTCTTCCTATTCTTCCATCTCTTGATGTTCTTTCACTGACTGGCCAAAGGGTTGCAGCTTTTTGGTATCTGAAAAGAGAAAGCACAAGGGTAGATCATGACGAGGAGAAGGGAGGTTGGGGGAGCAATGGATGCATATTTACACCATTTGCAGCTAGCATACTAAAAGAGAAAGTGGGATGAGAGGAAAGTGGAATATGACAATGTGGATTAGGTACATGGACACTATTACCTTTAATAATTTGATAACCCCTGGGCTATCTTCAGTTCTAGTGACTTGAAGAATGGTGAGCACCATCTCCTCCTTGGGGTAAGGACAAGCTTCTGTGCCAGTTAGATGGCACTATTTACAGTCATGCACTACCTTCTTGTGCAAGAAAGGTGCAGCTGTTGTCAGTGAGCATGGTGTGATGTGGCCATTGAGTCTGGACCACCGATAGTGTGGTCAAGATGTGCAGTGTGAGTTTTACGATTATAGTGATGTGAAGTGGATGAGGACAAAATGAAGTTATCCAGTCTCATTACCTTCTGACAGTTTGGAGAGCCTCCAGTCCCCTGCAGACACAAATCTTCTCTCCCTCTGTCCACCATCCGAACCAAGGTAACATCTGGGAATCAACTCTGTGTGCTTTGCCAGTAATGCTGTTAGATGATGCTTTTCCTTCTGTCAATGCTGTTCCTTGCCCCTTCCAGCTCTGCTGCCACTGGAATGCACCTCCACTTTAAGGCATGGAAGTTCACTTTCAGTAATGCAGGTTAGCTCAGTTTGGTAGCCTCACGTGAACTTGGGGCCTCTTGCTATGGAGCACTGTTACATGAATGAGCAGGCTATATTTCAACAAATAAGCATGGGCTAATTGTGCATCATGATCTCCTTGACAGAAGCTTTTTTAAAATTTTGCATACAAAGCTTTTTATAGGTCATTTGAAAAAGTGTCTGTGATATTTTCACTCTCCTTCAGAATACTACAAATGCCAATTTTTCATAAAAATGGGAAGGCTTAAGATATCTAAGTATAAATTATCCACTGACGGTTGGACTAGAATGGCTTTGTAACCAAACCAAGATGTGATTATTGGTGTATGGAAAGCCTTTTCAGGCAGTGAGTGGTCAAGATCTAGAATGCAGTGCCTGAAAATGTGGTGAAGGGCAGATTCATTTGAAGCACTTGAAGGAATTGGATTATTATCTGAGAAGGAATGCAGGACAACCAGGAGAAAGTAGTGCAGTGGCACTACGTAAATTGCTCCTTCAGACACCCAGCATAGGCATGACTGGCCGAATGGTCTGCTTCTATAATGTAACCATCTATGACCAAGACTTATGCATTCTTTTTAAAATTTAGAGAAAACAAACACGTTACTAAATTACTTTAATTTCTAAAGTATAGACACACGGGCATAGGAAATACAGAATTTTAAATAGTGATTTTTCTTCCCCCTTTTTGTTTTGTAAGCTAAAGTGAAGTGAAACCTAATGCAGTGAATTATTAATGCAAAATATGTATGACCATTTCAGCTAATTCAAAGGAAGCTTTAAAAAACTCTGAGAAGCAGCTCTTTTGCAAGTGTTGCTGTGTGAGAATTTTCAAATGCTGAAACATGCAAGGTCAGAAAAGTGACTTGCTTTTTGTGGAAGTGGTATACGTTACTGACTCCTGCCTATTTTTGTTGTGTGTCTATACTGAATTAATTTAGCACTCTGTCAGTCCCTTTATTGGCTTTGGAAATATATCGGCAGCTGTCTCTGTATGTTTAATTTCAGAGCCACAGGAATTCAGGAGATGATTGGTTACGTTCAACAGAGAGTAGATCATTTAACTGGACAATGCTTTGCGCATAAGGAGCTAGCTTTAAAGAAACAGCAATTGATCACATCCTTTGACGAACATTTTGAAAAGGTATAAAATAATCTAATCCAAACAATTCGTTCTGTTTTGCTAAAATCATTATGTTAGGTGACGTTATTGAAGAACTTTGCATTTTGTTGAAATGGTATGCTTATTAATTACATTTTTAATAAAATCAAATGGGTTATTGATTGAATAATTTTCTTTCCAACGGTTTTCCTCAGCTTTTAAAGGCTAATCCATACTGAACCTTCAAATTAATTTAGTTACAAGAACCTGAAACTGTAGAATAAGAGACCATTCAGTGGATCAAGCACACTTCTTCCAAGGGGCAAAACGTATTATAGATTCTCCCAAGCTAATGCGCTATGTCAAGGATAAAACACCCAAGAAGACAAAAGATCATACATTTAATAATATAGCCTCTATCATTAATAGTACATTTAACAGTGTACATTTCTGTCATCAGAAACTCAAATGGGGGAGATTTTGTTTTGAGGCTTGTAGTGTAATTTTTATATATATAAATATTAAATTGGTTAGCACCTGTAATATATAAGTGCTTATTTGAAATTTTCTACTCAATGAGAAAAACATAAAATATTCTGGCTGCTGGAAATCTGAAATTAAAATAAAAATTATAGAAATGCATAATTGGCAATTCATCTGTGGGGAGATCATTTTAGGTTGATCTTTTCATAAGAGTTGAAGAAAGATAGAAATGTGGTAGGTTTTGAGCCAGTGAAATGGAGTATAACACAGACTGTACCTCCATTGGTTGATCAGCTAACTACAAAAACTACAAAATTCTTTGCTAAACCCAAGCAGGGAAAGGCCTCTACCATAATTAAATTCACCTATGATTGATTATTTATAATATTTGATTCTATAAATATGAGCAGCTACATTAAAGACACATTAGGAGATCAATTTTTTTTCAGATTACAGGTTCTAAGTTAGGATCCTCTTAGTTATTGCAAAGAAAAACCTTCTCAACATCATGGGTGATTTCTCAACATGGCAACTGAACAGCAGTCAGTCATATGTAACTTTTATAACAACTTGAATAAATTTGAGATTTGATCTCTCCGGAAAAATATTTCATATAAAGCTGCATGACTGTGGAGCAAAGCAATGAGCAAGATAACTCTTGTAGGTTGCTAGAGGTGTCTTAGAAATAATCCAAATAGCTAGACAGAAGTTTATTTTTTTTTCAACAGGAAGGATCCATGATAGTCAAATATAGAACAACTTTTCTTTCCAGTTTTGTAAACTGAACATTTTATTTTAGATTATTGCAGTACATTGGAACAAAACTATTACTTGAATAGAATTACATATTTTAGAACAGTCACTGGCAAGTGAAAATAAAAGTCAGACATAAAGCAAGAGCAATCGAAAGATTGTGTAATGTATTCAACAGTTAACTAAGTTAAACAATGCCATCAAATAGTATGAAAAAGCTGAGTAGAACAATAAGAGGAAATAAATTAATCCAACATAAAAATACTTTTAAGATATATTTCACCTTTTCCAATCTTTTGAAGTAACTGCTTTAACTTTATCAAATAAATTACATGTTACATAAAATAAATTACTATGTCGGGTTGTTTTTTGGGCAGATTCGCAGAAGCTAGATTTGACTTTAAATGTGCAATTTCTCAAGGTCTCAGGATGTCTCCAAGCATACAGATCACGCCTTTCCAGTACATTAGAGCCAGGTTCCTCTCTTTCCGAAACTGAAGACATTCTGAACAAATATTTAGAAATGGCTGATCAGTTCAAGGTAATTTATATTGGCAGATGTCCATTTTGTAAAGTTGCTTGTTTGTTCTAGGTGAAGTTTATTGTTTTTTCAACTTTATGTATTGGTGTTGCAATGTAACATAATAAATTTACTGTGGAATATTGAACTACATTCCAACGGTAAGAATTATTATACAGTCCTGATCCTTCACAATCAGAAGTGTTTAACAGTATAACTTTGGGAAATATCAACAGCAACTTGCTGATAGTATTTTTTTTACTATTTAGCAAATATATACTTACTTGTGTATTTCTTTTAAAATATTATTGATGCTGGAGAGAATAGTTTTCATGTATCAGATCACATTGTTCTTGGTTTTGAAAATGATTCCAAGTTAAGAATCTGTGCAGAGTCTCAGAACCTTATTTTTGTGTGTGTGTGTGTGTGTCTGTGTGTGTATAAGAGAGAGAGAGAAAGAAAGAATTCTTTCAAGCCTGAACTGGTCTAATGTGAATTCGAAGATCCACCTTTTCTGGTCTAGCAGGCATCACACTGGCCTCAAGTCCACCTCCCGCCAGCTTCTTCTTTACTCTGACCAAGTCCTTGTCGTCATCATCATAGTGAGTGTAACTGCACTCAATCCTTTTAGACCCATCTACCGTACCTGCCCCAAACTCTTCACTGATACTGTTATTGCTGTGCATTTGTTATTCACAATTACCATCACTCCATTTTCCTCTTGTTCTTTGATTTAACAACTTCTGAAGATCTAGAAGATTCACCATTCCCCCTATACACATCCTGTTTGGACTGGGAAGAATGATAGTTTTTTGAGTAGAAGGCAATTGATGTGGACAGTCTTTCTGACAGTCTGGGTTGTGTCGTACTGTCTTGAACTTGTTGCCTTCAACTTGTACAAACCTTCATTTCTGGTTTGCTGGTCGGTTTAGCCTGGATATGAGTCAGCTCTTATAGACCATGAGTCTGCACCACTGCCTTGGAATTTCAGATTTCTGCTGTTCCTGCATGTCTTCTGTCAGATCTGAAGTGCTTTCTACGTCGTTCTCTGAAGTATTCTTCTGTGTTGACTGTTGCCACGAGGTTTACTGGCATGATCAAGCAATAAGTATCTGTTTGTCTTGAAGTCTTCTGAGTCACCAGCATGTTTTTTTCTCCCCCCATTTTTTCCCCCCTGTTTGTTTTTGCAATTTAATTTCTCTTAGTTGGCTCCATTGAGAATTAGTGCTGGTAGCAGCTGCTAAGGTGTCCAGCCTCTGAGAGCAGGTAACCGATCAAATGCCATCAGCTTTCTGGGGGCAGTGGCCTCTGTCTTAACTAGAGATGCCAAGGATGAATAATTGTAACTAGAACCCTGAAGTGCAAGTGTATGAGGTGGGATTTCATGGAGGGGCCAGCAAGGTGGGTGAGAGGAGTCAAAACAAAGGGCAGTGAAATATCTTCCTTCAGGACCCTCCTTTCTAGTAGCAGATACTTTTAGTGAACAGGACACCCAAGAATGAGGGAATGACCTGCCATATGCCGGCCCCCACATCCACCTACATATTCACTGGCATTCATCCAACGGCAGCATCATAAGGCTCTTATTTGATCTTTTAAAGTGATCACTTAAAGGCCTCAACAGGACTTCAGGCAGGAAGGCCATTCTCAGGTTTCTCACCCCAAACCGATTGGGGGTGTGGATTGCGAAGATTGCAAGCTCTTTTCACCCTGTACCTTCCTGCTCTGTTCCCTGTCTGCCTCCCAGCACACTCCTGGAAGGAAAATTAAATTTTGTCCAATGTATCAGGTCAATGATCCTTCAGCAGAATGGGAGTAAAATGAGAGATCCAACAGGTTTAAAGCAAGTACAGAGGCAAGGAAATTGCAGAAGAAACAAAGAACAAAATAAAAGGTGTGTGATGAGACGAAAGGCAGGGAAAAATAATGACAAATTGATGTCAGTCCAAAACAGCAGTGTTTGGTAATGGGATAAATAAAAAGACAAGAGATGTTTTCAGATTACGAATAATGAGAAAGCAGAATAATTATTAACAGTTCTGCACAGTTCCAGGTGTGATCCTGAGCTCCCAGTCAGTTTAATTCTCAGTTCTACTCCCAGTATCTGCCTTTGGCCTGCTACACTGTTCTGTTGAAGTTCAGAAAAGAGTATCTAATTCATGAATTAGGTAAACTAATGCCTTCTGTACTCCAATGAATTGAATTTCAGATTGTAAACTTTGTCCCCATTTTATCCTGCATTTTATTGCTTCATTTCTAAATGGAATTTGTTGCTATCGCCATTAATACCTCCTCTACACACCACTTATCTCTTTTCGTATCCCATTACCACTCCTGCTTGCCTTGCACTTCGGCTCTGTTGGCTCAGTTGGTTGGATGGCTGGTTTGTGATGCACAGCGACACCCAAAGGGCTGGTAAAATTCCCATACCATGTAGGTCCCAACTTCTCAACTTGCCCTTTCCTGAAACGTGATGACCCTTGAGTTAAACCAGTTGTTTCTCTCCACTAAGAGAGCAGCCTAATGTTCCTCTGGTCCTACAGTTATATCACTGCTTTTCACCAACATCCCTTTTGCCATTTAATGCCTCCTACCGTTCGCCCTATTACAGAGCTTTTTTGTTATTTTTCCTTTCCGCTCACTTCCTGTACATCTTTTCTTGCTTTAAACCTGTTATATTTGTTACTTTTTCAGTTCCGATGAAAGGTCATCAGCTTGAAATGTTAACTGTGTTTCTCTCCCACAGATCTGCCAGGCTTGCTGAATGTTTCCATTGCTTCATCTTTTTACTTTTGGCTTAGCAAATATTGTTTTTCCTGTTTGTTTATGTTACACAATTTACTGAAATTATATTCTGTGTTTCAGGAGGTAGAGAATGAATTAGCACACATTACAGACATCATCAAACAGGCTGAAGTGTTTGACGTCCCAGAAGTAAAATCATTTTCTGAGAGGTTTGTTGTCCTGAACACTGAATGGAAAACATTGTGTCGGAACCTGAATACACGGGTTGAACACTTGCAATCTTACACGACCTTTCTGAAACAAGCTGAAGAGGTGAATAATTCTTTTTAAAAAAATTATTCTATTGAAGTATTTTTGTTGTGCAGAACTCTGCAAAATTCTAATTTCTTAAATTAACAATGCTTTCTAGTTCTGAGATTAGCAAGACATTTTATGTTAAAATCTCACATTGCTTTAAAATTTTCAAAGTTTGAAACGTTAGAAGCCTAATTCCTAATGAAAAGATTATTTGTTGACCATTTCGAGAAACATTCACCAGGGTATAGATTATGAGATCAGCAGTCCTTGGGTTTAAAGATAGTTTACTAATCTTGGACTTTTTGACAACTCTTGATGAACTTCAGCTTTTAACAGAGTCCTGTTTTTCAACAAGACTATATGCAACTTGCAGAATAGAAGACTTATATTGAATATATAGCAGTGACAGATTATTACATAGGTCACTGCTCAAATGTAATGACCACCAATATGCAAAAAACAATGTGCTCAGTTGAGTAGTTTTGCAAGTTTATTTGACTACTCAGATAATATTGTCACTACACTGCATGCTTTGTCATATTCATTGAACCGAATATTGATAAGGAAGGCATTTTTATTTGGTTTTGCCATTATTTACTGTTCAAAAAAGTCTCAATATTTTTACAAATAGTTCTATATTTTTCCTAAAGATCTACACTGATGAATGTACATAACATGGCTTGGACAAAATCAGTTGCTATAACCAAAGTCTATTTTTTATATAATTTTCCTCAATACTTTTCTCAAATAATTGAGACATAGTCATGATAAAGCAGAATTTATCCATACATATTTATAATGTTATATTTTACTAATTTGCCAATGTTTTAATTGCCCAATAGAATGTTTCCATTTCTCACAGCATCCGCTGATGGAGGCCACTCAATGTAATCCTAACTTGTTTCAGATATTGTATCTTATTATGATGTTAACTTGCTCTGAATAATGAATGCGATTATTAATGAATACAAAAATATCATGTAACCAATTAGAATAAGGAAACATTTGTTAATAAAAGAAATGACTTTCCAAGATATCATGTACGTATATTTATTGAGAAGCTGGAAATGATACCACAGAAACTACAGTCTCTCCCTGTGGGATGTATACTGTCCCTAACTATTTTTGGTACCGATGCCTCAATGCTGGGAAGTTCACATATGCTCAGCTCCCTTAGCTGTACCAGAACCTGGCAAACTAGTGTTGTCATGACAGCAAGCAACGCTAAAAGCTGATCCGATGCTGTACTTACAAACTTGGGCAATGCAGGTACATTCAATATATCGGCTTAACACTAAAAGAACAAAAGCTGCCCGAAGCAGTAGCATTGTTTTAAGGGCCAGCAAACCAACCTGAAGGTTTCTTTAATTTAAAAAATTGCTTTATGGGGCATGAACAATGCTTAAAAAAACACCATTGTTTGTTGCCCATCCCTAATTACACCTAAACAGGAAATGGTGAACCATCTTCTTAAACCACTAGAGTACATGTGACAAAGGGGCATCCACTTTGTCGTGAGCGAAGAAGTTCCAGGATTTTGCCTAGTGACAATGAAGTAGCAATTATATAGATACAAGTTTAGATGGTTTGCAGTTTAGATAGGTATTTTCGGGTGATGGTATATTAGATAATTAGAATAAGTTATTCTTTTATAAAGTGTCTATGAGTTCGGTGGAGTGCTTTTGGAGATTTTGTGGTATGTTCCTAGATTTCTCAGGGCATATTGCTGTATCCTTAGACAGAGGGCACACAATTTGGTAACCTGATCATGGAAAAGTGCAATAGGCCTATGGTTCTGCAACGTAGCAGTGAGATGGAGCAAAGGTTATAGAAAGGGCAAACACTGCATGACTTTCTCTATCGTGCTGGAGTTTGAGTCTTTCATTATCAATAACAGTAACAGGAGGCTATCTAGCAAGCCAGCTGATGTAACCCTAACATCTCAGTTTGTATATTCTCCTACATGCTACGGCATCAAAGTTCTCATTTGAGTCCATTATAGCCTAATGTGTATGTGACCTTGTTCTGCAGTAAGCTGGAAAACTGAACTGTCCTTTCACTTAATTCGCTTTCAGTCCACTCCTAGTTGATCAGTCATCACAAGCAGAGCCCAACTCCATACTAGCCTCCAAGTTTCTATATCTGAACTGGCCATTGAGAAATCAAATGCTAGGTGCTCTTCATCAGCTTCGTGTTGTTTGTTTCCTCCTCCAAATGTGCAATAGCTGGGTGGACAACAATTTGGGGCATGTCTGAGAGCAGAAATCAGGAACTCGAGAATGGAGGAAGTGAGCTGTGGTGTAAAAGCGAAAGATTCACACTCATACTATCTGCAGCTTGCTCATCATAGTCAATGGTATGGTGGCTAGCAGTTGAGAGAGGAAAAAGACAGTATCCTACCTTTATCCTCAATGTCATCAGTGATACTATGTCCTTTGGGCACTGTAGCTGTCTGTTGTATAACGTAGGGAATCAGCTCTTTTGTAGCTTTCAGCAGTTGTAAGTGTCCTCTGCCCCCATCTAATCTGCCATGTAACCAATATAAAATAATGAAACATTTGGAAAAAATAAGACTTCCCAACATATAGTGTACATAAATTTAATGAGAAGCTGGAGACGATACTACAGAAACTGGAGTCTCTCCCAGTAGGGTGTATACTTTCTCCAACTATTTACATGAGCCACCATGCTCTATCTCAGTGATTCTGTTGCACTGTATTTATGGAGACATTGACATAATGGTAATGTCACTGGATGAATGATCCAGAACCCCAGGCTCATGTCCTGGGAATTCGAATCTCACCATGGCAATGGTGAAATTTGTATTCAGTATAGAAAAAGTTGGAACAAAGAGCTAGCCTAATGGTGACCGTATAACCTCTGTCAATTGTCACAAAAATCTGTCTGGCTCACTAATCTATCTGACTGCAGAGTCACAGCAATGTGGTTCTCTCTTAATTGCACCCAAGCCATAAATGTTGGCAGAGCCACCAATGCCCACGAATGAATACCATCCCATCCCATGAATGAATTCTTAAAAATGGCTGATGGTGGGTGAATAATTTGAGCTATGTGGAAGCAAAAGGAATTAGATGTGCACATGACATTTTTGATTGTGTTTGTGGATAAGGCAGAGTAACTCGATTTGAGGCCTGAGTCCTGAGAGTCATGGAGTGCTGCTGGATGAATGATGGGAGTCTGATCAATTGAGCAATGCGAGACATTGGTGGAGTGGTGTATGGGGCCATTGTGTTTTTTCTGCCATTGCTGCCAAGACTTTGTGTACTGAAACTGGGAATTGATATCCCTGACTACATGCTGGATAATCCTTAAAATCTCCTGGCCCCCCCTTTAGAAACATAATCTTTCTCCACCTATCTGCCTCCATTTCTAAGGCCTCCAGAATTAAAACTGTGATCCTGGGAGCCCTCTCTTCATCATGGAGTTCTTACTACCTTGTTTTTGAAATAAAGTTTTATGAATTTTCAAACAGTAAATAGGTGCTTTGAATGTTCTCAGTGTACTTGTTTTTATCAATTATTTTGTTTATAATTTGTAAGCTACATGAAATATTTCAGTTCCCCATCAAGATGTTTCAAGATTAAATTATGTAACATGGACTTGTTTTGAAACTAATCTCTATATCACATTTGACATGAATCAGGTCGAAGCATTTATGCAAAGTTTAGAAGATTGTTTCCAGTCTCAATCAATGAAGGATAATGAAGAAAATGTCAGGTCATTGTTGGAGCTTGCTGATTCCAAATGGCAGTCGGTCCTAATGAGTTTTCTTTCCCTCCAAGATCTGGCGTTCAACTTTAAGAGTGCAGTAAATATGGCAAGTTTTTTTTTATTCAATTAAACTATTTTAATACATGTTTCACAATTCATTTGTCAGTTGTAGAATTCAAGGTTGTTTGTGCTTGATCAACTACTTCGTTGTGCTTGTGTTCTTATGTTTTTGCTGTAATTGTTCTCTCTGTACATTCTCAAGTGAAATTTTCCAAATTATGTACCTTGTATCACATAAGTCAGCTGACATATTTATGTAGGTTTTATGTCATAGGACTAAATTCATTGAACATTCACTGTTGCTGTGTCAAAATCCTGGAACTTACTTTCTAAATAGTACGATGGACTGCAGTAGTTCAACAAGGCAACTCACCACCACCTGCTAAAGGCCAGTGAGGGATGGGCAATAAATACTGGCCTAGCCAGTGATTCCCACATCTCGTGAATCAATAAAGGAAGTAATTTTTCAGGGATAAAAGAATCAGAATATAATCAACAATATTATACTCTGATAAATTACAAATTTTGCCCTGAAGAACTTCATGAAAAACGTTTGATTTCTTTCAAGAAGAAGCATTTTGAATGGGCCAGCCAGGTTAAATATTACTTTAACCAGATGCACACACCAAACAATTATTTTCATAAATCTCTCATAGTGCAGGGTTGATTGGCACTCGTTCGTCCCCCTCATAGGTTCTGCAGCATTGGGCATTTAATTGGGGATGAGGGTGGGAAGTGAGCCGGGTGAAGACCCCTTCCTAATTCAAACCTGATTAAATCTGTGGAGGGAAGGTCTGTGGATGGCCTTCCCTTCCCTTTGTCAACTGAGGCTGTGAAGTGAATCACTAATATACACTTAAGGACCTTATCTCACTGCTAATGATGTTAATCTAGCAGCAGCAGAGGTGACTCAACACGCAGTAAGAAGCCATGCAGATTGCCCACTAGGTCCCAAGGGGGTCCTTTGTTCAAAGGCACAGTGCCTGGTTTCAGTAATCCAGTTTCAGAAGGGAGGCCCACCAAATGCAACCCTCTTGGCATTACAGCTCCTCTGAAAACCCATACCCCATTACCTCTCCACCCCTGTTATCACTCATCTATGGTCAGGGTCTATCCATGTTTTGAGACCTCAGCCAGGTATCCTACTGATCCAGCCACTGCTGCCAACTGGCACTGCAGTTCAATAAATTTGCTGAGCCCTGAGTGGGCAGCAGCTCTCGGCAAATGATATTTTGTCTCCAAGGTCCTTGATCTTTGGGAAAGCTGACATTGTCTAGCTAAGTGCCTGAATGATGTTTCACACAGTGGGTCTTCCCTAATAATTGGCTCTGCAGTGGGCAAGTAAGATTCCTTTTGACTCCGTTAAATACCATCCATTAGATTATATGATATAGGAGTAGAATTAGACCATTCAGCCCATCAGGTTCACTTTGATCATGACTGATATGTTTCTCAATCCTATACCTCTGCCTTTTCCCCATTATGCTTGACCCTCTTACTAAACAAGATCTACATCTGTCCCAAAGATAGTCAATGACTTGGCCTTCACAGCCTTCTGCAGCAATGAATTCCACAGATTCTCCACCCTCTGACTGAAGAAATTCTTCCTAAAGGCTCTGCCCTTCACTCTGAAGCAGTGCCCTCAGGTCCTGGTCTCTCCTACTCATGGAAACATCTTCTCCATGCCCGCTCTATCAAGCCTCTCAGTATTTTCTAAATGTCATTCAGATCCTCCCTCATCCTTCTAAACCCCGTTGAGTACAGACCCAGAGGCTTTGCCCATTTTTTTACCCACATTCTTTGCTCCCCGTCCAAGCCTATCCAAGTCCTTCTGCCTCCTCAACACTACCTGTCCCTCTACCATATTTTTGTGTCATCTGCAAACTTAGCAACAATGCCCTCAGTTCCTTCATTCAGATGATTAATATATAACATGAATAGTTGTGGTGCCAACACTGACCTCTCCACTAGTCACCAGCTGCCATCCTGAAAAAGATCCCTTTCTCTCCACTCTCTGCCTTCTGCCAATCAGCCAATTCTCTATCCATGCCAGTACCTTGCCCCTAACATCATGAATTCTTGTTTAGCTGCTTCCTGCATGTCACCTTGTCAAAGGCTTTCTGGAAATCCAAACAGATCACATCTATAGGCTCATTTTTGTCTAACTTGCTCTTTACCTCCTCAAAGAATTCTAACAGATTTGTCAGACATGGCCTTCCCTTCATGACTCAGCCCTATTTTACCAGGCACTTCCAAGTACTCCTTAATCTCGTCGTTAATAATGGACTCTAAAATCTTACCAACAACGCAGGTCAGGCTAACTGGCCTATAGTTTCCTGTCTTCTGCCTCCTTCCCTTCTTCAGCGGGGGTGTTACGTTAGCCATTTTCCAGTTCTCTGGGACCCTCCCTGACTCCATTGATTCCTGAAAGATCACTACCAATGCCTCTACCACTGTCCTCAGCTATCTCCTTCAGAACTCTGGGGAGTAGTCCATCCGGTTTGGATGATGTATCCATCTTTGGACCTTTCACCTTCTCCAGCATCTTCTCCTCAAGATGGCTACTACGCTCATTCCCTGACTCTCTTGAAGTTCTGGTATGCTACTGGCATCTTCCATTGGGAAGACTGATGCAAAGTACCTACTCAGTTCCTCTGCCATTTCTTTGTTCCTCATTACTACTTTTCCAGCCTCATTTTCCAATGGTCCAATGTTCATTTGTGCCTCTGTCTTATATTTAATATATCTAAAAGAACTCTTGCGATTTTCTTTTATAATACCGGCGAACTTACAGTCATATTTTATCCTCTCCCCCTTTATATGCTTTTCTGGTTACACTTTGCTGTTTTTTAAAGGCTTTTCAATCCTCTGGTTTGCCACTGATCTTCACCACATTGTAAGCTTTTTCTTTTGCTTTTATGCTGTCCCTGACTTCCCTTGTCAGCCATGATTGCCTTGTCCTCCCCTTCTTCCTTGCGATGAATTTCTGCTGTGCCTCCCGAATTATCCCCAGAAACTCCTGTCACTACTGCTCCACTGTCTTCCCTGCTAGGCTCCCCTTCCAATCAAGTCTGGCCAGCTCCTCCCTCATGTCTTTGTAGTTACCTTTACTCAATTTTAAACTGTTACATCTGATTCAGCTTCTCCCCCTCAAAATGCAGGATGCGTTCTATCATATTATAGTCACTGTCCCTAGGGGTTTCTTCATGTTAAGTTCCCTAATCAAGTCTCTCTCATTACATATCACCAAGTCCAGAATTACCTGTTCGCTATTGGGCTCTACCACAAGCTGGTTCAAAAAAACTATCTTGTAGACATTTCATGAATTCCTTTCCTTGAGATCTGTTAGCAACTTGATTTTCCCATCCACCTGCATACCGAAGATCCCCCATGATTATTGTATTAGTGCCTTTCTTACATGCCTTTTCTATCTCCTGATTTATTTTCTTCCCCACGTCCTGACTACTGCTAGGAGGCCTGTACATAACTCCCATCAAGGTCGTTTTTCCTTTGAAGTTCATTAACTTCGGGGTGGCACGGTGGCACAGTGGTTAGCAGTGCTGCCTCACAGCACCAGGGACCCGCGTTTGATTCCAGCCTCGGGCGACTGTCTGTGTGGAGTTTGCACATTCTCCCTGTGTCTGCGTGGGTTTCCTCCAGGTGCTTCGGTTTCCTCCCACAGTCCAAAGATGTGCAGGTTAGGTGGATTGGCCATGCTAAATTGCCTGTAGTCCTCAGGGATGTGTAGATTAGGTGGGTTATAGGGGGATGGGTCTGTGTAGGACGCTCTGAGGTTCGGTGTGGACTTGTTGGGCCGAAGGGCCTGTTTCTTGTAGGGATTCTATTCTCTATGATAACTACACCCACATAGATTCTACACCTTCCAACACTATATCGCTTCTTGCTATTGATTTATTTTCATTTCCTACTGAAAAGACAACTTCTCCCCTCTGCCCGTCTGCCTGTCCTTTCAATAGAATGTATATCCTTAGATATTTAGCTCCCAGCCTTGATCCTCTTGCAGCCACATCTCTGTGACCTTTTTTTTGCTTTAGGTTAACAATCCTTATCTCCATGTTTTAGTTTGTTGTTGCTGTATTGTAGTGGCAAGCATTGTAATAAAACTATATGGAAAATGTAAAGGTGAGGTCTTGATCCAGTAACCAAAAACTCCTTGCGAGTCAGATGTCTTGTTCGAAATGAGAGACTTTTTTCAGATACCAGCGGGCAAGGAGAAGTCACAACTTATTGTAGAGTTCTACAGTACCATATTTTAACTAATTGAGCAGCCAATTTAAACAGTTACAGGCGTTTATCTGACAAGCTACTTCTCTAATTACATCATCTCCCAGCTTAATCTTTTCCGTGATCTGCTATCTCTTGGTTAGGTTATTAGTGTGCGTCTGTGTGTCTAACAGGCAAAATTTAAGTCACCTAAGTTTTACATCAAGTATCCCACGATCCTTATCTATCAATCTTCTCTAAAAGATATTCTTCTTTGGCCCTTTGATAGCACCTGGCCCAATTTAGCCATCACCATAAGATTCTCTGCTCATCAAGTAAGCTGGGGATCCTACCAGTTTTGACTAGCTTCGGATCCTCATCTAGCATCCTCTTATGACTTCGCCTGTGTCCTAGTGTCTTAGCTTATTCTAGAATTGAAAGTTTGTGTTATAATTTATTATGTATCAAAATAAACTATAACTTGCCTAAAACGGGTACTCAAACTAAACTATCCTGTGCTCCTAACTCCATCACTGATGGCCAGACAATAGATTTTCACTGTTTCATTTTCTAATTAATGTTTTACAAGTTCTCCTCTGGTTTGCTCGGTGCTTTGGTTACTACTCTAGCAATGTCACGGTATGAAATTCGACGAGCAGTCCAATAGCAACTAGCAATTGTGCCCATCAGTACATGGGAAGCAATTGTATTCGAAGCTGAATATCCACCCTCATATCCCAGACCCAAATTGTCTGCTGCCACTGTGTACCGTCAACTTTGTCTTTCACTTCCTCACTGAGTTGTTTGATCTCCTGTTCGATT